TTGATTAGAAACAATTCCAACTTGTTGGAATTGTTTATCATCAAATCGAGGCATTTGTCATATCGACAGAAACAAACTGAGGAAAAAAAATTAAAATTGGTTCTTCTGAAGAACAAAAAATGCGTAGAGCATCGTTTAGAGTAAATAAAGGACAATTTTTACAATTTTTCAGACTGGAACCTGAAAAATTGTCACTAATTACTTCTAATCAGTTTATAAACCGATTAGATTTTTTTTATAGTAACTTTTAACAATGTTTATATATACAAAAAATCAAACTTGGTTCAGAGAAAACAATAAAACAAATTATCACAAACTGATTTATTATTCTGATGACAATAAAACAATAATTGAAAATATTCAAATTATATTGATACCTCATTATCAAAAGATTATGTTGAATAAAGATCAAAGACCTTTTTTAAAAAAACATGAATTTGTTCTCGATAAAGACAGGAACATTGTTGATAAAGTTAGCAGAGAATATTTACTTGAATTACTTTATCCTGAAGTGAAATTAGCAAACATCAAATTTAAAAACAAATATTCTTTTGATTTACGCAGATGTAATATTGAAATTATCAATTAAATAAATTTATTCTAATCAGTTTCAAACCGATTAGATTTTTTATTATGTAAATTAAAAAAATGTGTGACAAAAATACTAAGCAACTTATTGTAAAGTCACCAACTTTACAAGATCCAAATAATTTTTTTGACAAATATTGGAATGAGCAACATGATTTTTTTATTGATGAAAAAGAGAAAATTTATGTAGTTAAAAAAGATAATGATAAAGTTTTAGATATTTTTTCAAAGTCTTCATTGAAAAAATATTTAGAATCAAGTAAACAAGATTATAGGTTTAACACTTGTCCTTGTTGTGGGAAAATCAAACTTGTTTTTGTAGAAAAGACCAATTTACTTATCAAAGAAACCATCAATCATTGTGATGTCTATAATTCACCTTTCACTAATCAAGTCAAAGAAGATTTTAAAATGAGATTTCTTGATCATGAACATTTATCAAAATTTTTCGATCATTATGGTATCAGTCGTAAATGTGAAATTTATCTTTGTAAACATAAAAATCTTTCAGTTTATAGAAAGAATAAGGTCTTGGATGTTTATCAAGAAAATGATTTATTTTATTTTGTAAATCATTTTTTAAGACATAATGTCAACTTCAATCAATGTTTTAATTGTAACAGAATTACTTTGAGTAGAAATAGTAGAATTAATCTTACTTGTAAAACTAAAAAATGCAAATGTATTTCTTAATATTCTAATCAGTTTTAAACCAATTAGATT